TTAATTGTTGGGGATTTTAACACACCACTCTCCCCACTAGATAGATCAACTCGGCAAAAACTCAACAGAGAAACCACAGATCTAAACAGCTGCATAGATCAACTAGACTTAACAGACCTTTACCGAACATTTCACCCAGCAGCATCAGAATACACGTTTTTCTCAGCAGCACATGGAACGTTTTCTAAAATAGACCACATTTTAGGCCACAAAGCAAACTTGTCTAAATTCAGAAACATTGAAGTTATACCTTGCATTCTCTCTGACCACAAGGGAATAAAATTAGAACTCAACACCAAAAGCCACCAAAGAAAGTCCGGTATCACATGGAGGCTGAACAACACACTGCTGAATCATGAGTGGGTCATGGAAGAGATTAGAAAGGAAATTCAAATGTTCATGCTATTCAACAAAAATGAACACACAAAATACCAGCTCCTCTGGGACACAGCAAAGGCAGTACTCAGAGGCAAGTTTATAGCTCTGAGCTCCTACATCAACAAATTGGAGAGATCTGAAACTAGCAATTTAATGACGCATCTAAACCTCCTTGAAAAAGAGCAGCAAGATAAACCCCAATCCAGTAGACGGAAAGAAATAATCAAAATTAAATCAGAATTAAATGAATTAGAATCCAAAAAAACTATAGAAAGAATCAACAAAACAAAGAGTTGGTTCTTCGAAAAACTTAACAAAATTGACAGACCCTTAGCAAATCTTATCAGAAAAAGAAGAGAACACACCCAAATTAATAAACTCAGAGATGAGAATGGAAACATCACCACGGAAACAACCAAGATTCAGAACATTATAAGGGAATACTTCTCAAAACTGTATGCTAATAAGTTTGAGAACTTGACAGAAATGGACCTCTTCCTAGCAAATATTGACATGCCAAAACTAAACCAAGATGAGTAAACTATCTTAACAGGCCCATATCAAGCATTGAAATAGAAACAGCAATAAGAGACCTCCCAGCTAAGAAAAGTCCAGGACCAGATGGTTTTACAGCGGAATTTTACAAGGCCTTCAAAGCAGAGCTCACACCAGTTCTCCTCCAACTCTTCAATGAAATTGAAAGAGAAAGCTCACTACCGAACACATTCTATGAAGCCATCATAACCCTCATCCCAAAACCAGGCAGGGACTCATCAAAGAAAGAGAACTATAGACCCATTTCTTTGATGAACATTGATGCAAAACTTCTCAACAAAATTTTGGCCAACCGACTTCAACAATTCATCCAAAAAATCATACACCACGATCAAACAGGATTCATTTCAGGGATGCAAAGCTGGTTCAATATACGCAAATCAATTAATATTATTCATCACATCAACAGGAGCAAGAATAAGAACCACATGGTTATCTCAATAGACGCAGAAAAAGCATTCGACAAGATCCAACACCCCTTCCTGATGAAGGTTTTGCAAAAATTAGGAATCCATGGAACATTCCTCAATACAATAAAGGCTGTATATGACAAACCTACAGCCAGCATTATACTCAATGGTGAAAAACTAAAGCCATTTCCTCTTAACTCAGGAACAAGACAAGGATGCCCACTCTCTCCACTTCTCTTCAATCTAGTATTAGAATGCCTAGCTACAGCAATAAGACAAGATGCAGACATAAAGGGGATCCAAATAGGGAAAGAAGAAATAAAACTCTCCCTCTTTGCAGATGACATGATCTTGTATTTAAAGAATCCCATAGACTCCACTCCCAAATTACTCAAGCTGATTCAAAACTTTGGCAAAGTAGCAGGTTATAAAATTAACCCCCAAAAATCAATGGCTTTTCTGTATGCCAACAATGAGAAAAGTGTGGCTGAAATTAGGAAAGCAACTCCATTTGTAATAGCCCCACAAAAAATAAAATACCTAGGAATTAACTTAACTAAAGAAGTGAAGGACCTCTATGATGAAAACTTTAAAATCTTGAAAAAGGAAATCAACACAGAACTTAAAAAATGGCAAAACCTCCCATGCTCCTGGATTGGAAAGATTAACATTGTGAAAATGGCAATACTTCCCAAGGCTATCTACAAATTCAACGCAATACCTATCAAAATTCCAAACTCATTCTTCAAGGAAATAGAAGAGGCAATCCAAAAATTCATATGGAACAATAAAAGACCCCGAATAGCAAAAACGCTCCTCAACGGAAAGAACACTGCTGGAGGAATATCAGTACCAAATTTCAAACTCTACTATAAAGCCATAGTAATCAAAACAGCTTGGTATTGGCATAAGAACAGACCTCAGGACCAATGGAATAGAATTGAAAACCCAGAAATGAACCCACAGACCTATAGCCATCTAATCTTCGATAAGGGAGCTAAAACAATAGAATGGAAGACAGACAGCCTCTTCAGTAAATGGTGCTGGCAAAACTGGTTAACTACATGTAGAAAACTAAAGCTAGATCCTTATATATCACCCTGCACCAGAATCAACTCCAAATGGATCAAAGACCTTGAACTCAAAGCAGACACTCTGAAAACATTACAGGATGGAATAAGAGAAACCCTGGGTCTCCTCGGCTCAGGCCGAAATTTTCTGAATAGAGACCCGGAAACACAACAAATCAAAGAAAGGTTGGACAAATGGGATTGTATAAGGTTGCAGAGCTTCTGCAGGGCAAATGACATAGCTAGCAAGATCAATAGAAAGCCCACGGACTGGGAGAAGATCTTTACTAGCCATACAACGGACAAGGGTCTCATATCTAAAATATACTTGGAACTCAAAAAATTAAACCACCCAACAACAAATCCTCAAAGAAACAACTGCCCAATAAATAAGTGGGCAAAAGACTTAAAGAGAAGCTTCTCTGAAGAAGAAAGAAGGATGGCCAATAGACACATGAAGAAATGTTCAACATCCCTAGCCATAAAAGAAATGCAAATCAAAACAACATTGAGATATCACCTCACTCCAGTTAGAACAGCAAAAATCAAGAACTCTAACAACAACAGATGCTGGAGGGGATGTGGACAGAAAGGAACCTTACTTCATTGTTGGTGGGAATATAAATTTGTTCAACCACTTTGGAAAGCAGTATGGAGGTTCCTCAAAAGACTCCACATAGAGCTCCCCAATGACCCAGCAATCCCACTTTTGGGCATTTACCCAAATGATCACAAACAAGGCCACACTAAAGCTACCAGCACAACTATGTTTATTGCAGCATTATTTACCATAGCTAAGATATGGAACCAACCCAGATGCCCCTCAGTAGATGAATGGATCAAGAAGATGTGGTATATATACACAATGGAATTCTATGCCTCCATCAGAAAGAATGACATTGCCCCATTTGTTAGGAAATGGAAAGGCTTGGAAAAAATTATATTAAGTGAAGTAAGCCAGGCCCAAAGAAACATAGGTCCCATGGTTTCCCTTATTTGCAATATCTAGTATAGGTATGAGTCAAGCGGAAAAAGTCAGAGAATGTGATGTTAGGAAAACGAACCCTCAAATATGTATTTTAATGTTTTTGTTTCTTTCATGCATGTGTTTCTAACGCATTTATAATATTATTTCTTTGTTGCTTTGTATGTCCCTCCCCCACAGTGTAACCCCTGCTTTCACTATATTTGATGTCAGTATAACATGTGGAGGAGATGGGGACAAACAAGTCGTTTAAGGATTCAGGTGGACCTGTTCCAACAATGAGAAGTACAAAATGTCATGTCAAAACCAGCTTTACAATGTCGGTGGGGGGGGGAGAGGGGTATGATTGGGTGGGGGGGAGGGGGGAGGCTGGGAAGGGAGGTGAAGGGTAAACAAAGGAGGAGATTGCAATGCTTGGTAAGAAATGCATGCATTTTTCTGCCCATGTAATTGTAACCCCTCTGTACAGTATGTTCTCAAATAAAATAAAATTAAATTAAAAAAAAAAAAAAAAAAAGAAATGTAATCAACATGGGAATCTCAAAAAATTAAAAAACATTAAAGAAGTGGACGCTGGTGGTCCATGCCTGTAATCCTAGCTACTCAGGAGGCTGAGATCTAAGGACCAATAAGGCCCCTGCAATAAGGTCCATGAAACACTTGTTTCCAATTATCAACCAAAAAGCTGGAAGTAGAGCTGTGGCTCAGGTGGTAGAGCACTAGTCTTGACCACAAAAGCTCAGGGACAGCAGCCAGGTTCTTAATTCAAGCTTCAGGACTGGCACAAAAAAAAAAAAAGCCAAACACAAAAGACTTACAGACTGTATGACTTTGCTTATATGAAATTGTGGAACAACCAAAACCACAGTGATAGAAGACCTGTCAGCTATGGCCAGGGAATGGGGATCTGAGGGCACAAAGGAGACAGATACAAATGAACAGGAAGGAATTCTTACTGACCATGTAAATGTCCCATACTAAATACCTTTTTAAAAACTCTTCCAATTTACACTTGAACTAGTTGAAGTATAATATGTATAAATTATTCCAATAAAAAGACAAAAAACATTATGAGATTCAAAAGAGGATTAAGAACAAATTTTAAAAGACTGCACTAAATCTCTTACAACATGAAATAACTTGATGGATAGTTATAAATGATTTAAGGAGCATTTAAAGCATTGTACTTTCATATTATCTGCATATATACTGTCTAGTTTAAACAAGCTTTAAAATGTAAAGAGATAATAAAAGCTTTTGGGGACTGGGGATATATATAATTTGCCTGAGGCCTGAAGCTCAAAAAACCAGTTCCAAAGAGAGACAGAAACAGAGACCAAGACACACACACACACACACACACACACACACACACACACACACACACACACACACACACACACACACACACACACACACACACACACACACACACACACACACACACACACACACACAGATTTTTTGTAAACCTACAAAAGAAAATTCCAAATATGAAAAAATTCAACCTTAAGAGTGAGAGTCACTTTGTAAATAAAATCTATTTTCACTTTATTTTTTTCTTTTAGTTATTTGTGAAAAATTATTTAAATTCTCACTTACTTGGATATAGAATATCAGCAATCTCAAAGTCATTCACCCTGCAGATGGGCAGAAATGAGTCCCTTGGAGATAAAGAGAAAGAATATATAAGTGTATTAGAAATTATATTCTAAGTCATGGCACACATCTTATTTTCCAAGAGATTTCTAATATATTTCTCAATAAAGTCAGAAGTCTACTGCAATGCAGAATTCTAAGGCACTGAAATCTACTTTCAGCATATTCCACTAGTATTCATGAAATACAAAGATTCTTGGAGACATTCAGGTTCTTTAAGAATTCATAGGCTTCTATAACGTTGGCATACAATTTTAGGTTTATACTCTCTTAGAATTTCATTTGAAAGCATCCTGAGAAGTGCCAGAGAAAGAGGCTGTTCTGTTTGGTAGTAACCTACAATTTTGAATACCTATGGGATAAAGTGTAGGGAGAGATATCAGAATTCCTTTTAAGGAAAACTATATCATTAAAGAGCTTAATTCGATATTAATATGAAGATGGAATTAAAAAATCACTCTTTACTCACAGATGAATAAATAAATTGCTGACTGGTAAAAAACCTTCCATTATATGTGGATACATGACTTCAGAGTTCACTGGCATCTAGATGAAATAAACCATAAAACATAAATTATACATTGCTTTTACAAAGAAAATCTTCAACCACAAGCACAGGTTAAAATCTAATAATATTAATTATCACTAACTTTGAAAAGAAAACCTAATAGTTCCTAGTACAAAGTTAGAGTTGAAATTAATTAAGAATGCTAGGGTGATAGTGGGTATTTCTCTATTTTATATAAATAAAAAACAAAATGGAAATTGTGAGCATTTAAACATCAAGAAATATGTAGGCATCTTACATATATTCACTATCAATTTTTACAACTCTATTACAAAGTGTTACTACAGTTTTATAGACAAAGAAACTAAAGGTAAGCACAGTTTCATAAGTCAGTGGCAAAGATTTTGATTTAAAAAAATGTGCAATGACATACCAGGTATAGTGGTACATGCCTATACACTCAGCATTGGGAAAGCGAAAGCAAGAGGTCTGGGAGTTCAAGGCTAACTTGGGCTACACAGAAAAGATTCTGTCTCAAAAAAAACCACATTAAGATCATACTAAGATACCAAAACATTACATTTTCAGCGTATATTCAGATGATACTCAGATGATTGCACAACAAAAAAAGATTAAGAAAAATGATCTTCCTACTAGAAGTATTTAATTTACTAAAAGCCCAGTTGCTGTATTGCAATGGTTGCAGTCTTGCTGTATACCTACCACTCTCATTTCAAAGTCATCCCTGAGAATAGTATTGAGGAAGACTTGGCAGCTTTTCTTTATTATTATTATTATAGTAGGTAAAGACAAACCTATAAATCTGTGAACCACTGTACGTAGCCCATATTTTTTAAGTGTCATTTGGGTCTTTTATTACAATGGTCATCTTACCCAATCTATCCATATCAACTATTATTATGACTAAGATTTGTGAGTGACATTAATTTCATATGAAATGAATTTGTTAAAAATGAAGTCAAGAAATCCAGGTCCGGGGATGGGAAGGTGGCTCTGTGGTAGGGCCTTGAGCTGAAGAGCTGAGGAACAGTGCCCAAGCCCAGAGTTCAGGCCCCACGATTGGACCCGGAAAAAAAAAAAAAAAAAAAAAGAAATCCAGGTCCTTTTAGGGAGTATGTAGTTGTGAACAAAACTGCTTCCATTTAAACTCACCATGTAAAAATGTTCCAGTCGTATTCCATAAACAATTTGTAAGGCTCTCATGTAGATCATGTGCAAGACTTCAGGCTACAAAAGAAACACAACTTTTAGCAGTCTTGGGCATAGCACTGCATCCTAGTCTTCATTGCTGTCCCATACTACAGTCAATGGATACAGCAAAGGGGGACAAGATGACTATATTTCCCTGGAAACATCTCCACACTTTTTTTTCCAAATTAAAAAAAAACCTTACACTTATCCGTTTATTCTAATGTAAAAATGTAGTTAAGAAAGCTGGTGCCTGTGGCTCAAATCTGAAATCCTATCTACTCAGGAGATAGAGACTTTATAAAGCAAGACTTTATCTCCAATTAACCAGCAACAAGCTGGAAGTGGAGCTGTAGCTCATGTGGTAGAGCACCAGCCTTTGACAAAAAAAAAAAACAGAAACAAAAACAAAGGATAGTGACAAGACTGAGTTCAAGCTCCAGCACTAACATTAAAAATAGAAAAGTAAACACAGTTGCTTAAGCAAGTACATCCAAATCTAGGGAGGAAGTAGGGGAGTCTTTCAGCTGTCAGGTATGTGACATAAATGTTGGAACACTGTGGATGTTTTTATTTAAAAAGGAAATCCAGATAACCCTGTCTGCTTCCTATGTATTAGTTTTCTTAGATTTAATGTTTAAAGAATACCTGGAGCAATATAGAACTTTAAAAAAAAATCTTATTTTCAAAGTCAGCCCTTCCAAGTTTACTATCAGTGAACTGGTTCTAATCTATATGCAAGTTCACAGTGAACAGTAGAGTGAGAAATACAGCGACAACTTGCTAACCTTTCCAGAAAGTGGAATTTATTCAGTATATTCATTCATTCTGAGATTATTCATTCCATTTTAGAGAATTAAAGGATACTGAGACAAAAGAGGCTTAAGTTCTATATCATAAAACCAGGGTTACTGCATTAGCACCTCAAGTCCAACACAAGAAACTGGAAGGAGACTCTGGGATTTCCTGTGTCATATAAATAACTTCATTTCTTTTTGCATTTAATAACTAAACATAAAAGAATAATGCCTGTCAAAACAAGTCAACTCCCTCCTGGGGCATAATGCAAGAAAATTAATCTGTAAGCTTCCAAAGAAGATTGTTTCTAAGCATTATTTTTAATGGCTGGGAACCACTTGGAATAAGTTCCATGAAGCCTTACCAATAATGATACTCTCTCACCAACACGCCAATAATAATAAAAAAATTTAATATACTTTAATATAACTATGGTTTAAGGCTATTTTTTTAAACCCACTATATTAAAGAACTGAATTCCTAATGGGAATGTAAACATTGTCCCATATATAAACTTAATGCTATTTTAAAATTACAGTAGATGAGAGATTTTTCTCTAGATTAAACATGACTAGTCTATATCAAATAGGAGGGCCTATATCCTTCTTGCCACTCTCTAAACCTTGTAGCTTACTTTGTTTTCAAATACCAACATCTACGTTCAAATACAACCACATTTTACCTTTGGATTTGGATAAAGGTCATTCTTAGAGAGGTTTTTCCCATCAGCTCCGGTTAACAACTTATTGCGAATATGAATCACAATCTCAGCTACATTATATCTGGGGAAAGACAAAGTTTCCATCTTCTCCTGCTTATGAAGAAAAAAAAACAGATCAAAATTACAGACAATTGGTAGTTCTCATTATCTAAACACTGACAAACATAAAAACAAAATGAACACACCATACTCAATAATCCATAGTGCTCCTACCATCTAATATTTTAGTATGATAAAGATAAATTTTATATACATACATCTACACAAAGATATGTATTGTAAAGTCACTTTTATCTCAAAGTACACACAGTCATTCTCTGCTAATTTTCCTAAGGTTCTTTTTTTTTCATGTGGGAAGGAAGATTTTGGTTGATACTTCTGCATTTGGGAGCCAAGGGTTTAACAAGATCAATCCTGAGAATTAATCATCAGAACAATGAAGAAAGCAACACCATCAGCAAGAACTATATATAAACAATCCTCACATAAGATAGATAATACTGTATTCTGATTTGACATCCTATTTGATATGTACTTGGTGAAATGGATAATAAGATTTAAGAGGCAAGCTAGAAGAGGAAAAAAAATAATGTAATTGGCAAAAATACCTTTCACCGGAGCAATAATTTTAAATAAAATGAACTAGCAAAAAATCCTCTTGCCCTAATAGATTCAGAGAATGAGTTATTCTTTCTTGTGCACCTCCCCCCACAAAGGCAGAGGTTCTCAAAACTCTGTTCCCTCAACTCTGCTAAGAGCAAAGTGGCAATATTTGGAGATAGTTTTGGTTGTCAGCTCAAGCATAAGGCTGCTGCTGGAAGCAAGTGGACAGAGACCAGGTGTGCCACTAACTAACTTACAATGTGCAGAGAGATTACTCATTGCAAATAATAACCCAATCCAAAACATCAAGAAGGCCAGGTACAGGAAACGCTATCCTAGAGCTTGCATTTACTATGTTATAGTAGTTTTTACAAGGTGTTGGGATAACATTTGTAGAATGAAGACACTACATTTTGAGAGCTAGTAAGCTAAAACCTTTTCACTGTCTTCTCATCTCTACATGTGCCAAATAGCAATATTGGCAATAAGAGGACCAGCAGTAGCAGACAGTGCTTCAGCCACTCACTTACCACACTGTTAATTTCCTAGTAATACTCCTCCCAACTTTATAGTGAAGCAGTATGACCCAAAGTGAGCATTCAATTTTTCAAAGCAAATGGCTCAGTTTTGGAAATCTATTTCATTAGGTTTCTAATAGTTTTTAAACTATTAAGGTTAAAAAGCTTTGGCAACTTGCCAGTCAGTAAGTTCCTGGTTCTGTTTGAAGCTTTAAAACATCATGGATTCAAGACAACATTTTCTCACTTTAGTGTGGCCCTAATAATTAGATAATTCTTTCTTTATGTTGTAACTTTCACCTACTTGATCCAATTCCTAGTGTCTGCAGCTACGCAGAATATATAAATCTCTTATGTGACACTAGTTTCAAAAGCATGACAAAAGAAATTATATTTCTGCCACACCCTCCTTTTTCAAGATTATAATTTCTTTACATATGGTCACTTCTTAGATAATGTTTTGGAATTTCCATTTGTGAAAGAAATGAAACAAACAACAAAATGAAACAAATGAAAAAACAACAAAATCCCCCTTCCTACTCTACACCAACAAAAACCAACACAGAAGACTTGTGACTAAATGGAATAATTGCCCCATACACCAAATCAGTAATGCACTGACTTCGTGACTGCCAGTGGGCAGTCAGATTCCTCTAATACATAACTAGAGATAGTGTCAGATCCCACAGGTTGAAGACTCAATAGTCATGACTGCTTAATCTTTGGATGCCAAGTGGAAGCCCTAGATAATTTTACCTATGCTTCTGACCAAACTACTAAATATTAGGGTTCTCACTATTCCGTCTTTGGATTTAATTTGCTACAGCTCACATAACTCAGGGAAATGTCATACAGATGTTACATTGACCTTTTTTTGTTTCTGGTTTTATAAAAAATACTACAACAACTGAACAGCGGATGAAAAGATGGATAGAGTAATGTATAAAAGAGGAAAGGGTCATGCCATTGCCAGAAATCTCAAAATTAATCTTCTGGGGCATTTATGGAAACTTCATTTAATAGGCATGATTGTACTAGCCATTGGTGACCAGCTGAACATTCAATCTCTACTCTCCCCAAGACTGGGGGACAGGATTCAATGTTCTAAGCCTCCTGGTCATTCAGATTACAATTCCACATTCCTAAAACTATCAAGAGACTGCCAGGATCAGCCAACCATTAACATATAAAAAGATACTGATGGTTATTGAGGACTCCAATGATTTTTAACAGCTGTACACCAGGAGCCTGATGTATATTTCACAGTATTATAGCTTCCTACTTTCCATTTAATAAACACTTACTAAGCCTTTTATAATACCCAAACTGAATTCAGTATTCCTGGTATGGCAGAAGTGGAAGAATGTTAATCCACTATGGAATGGCCTTTTGCTACTCTAGATTACACAGTTGCTCTAAGCTACAACTAGCCCAAGTTTTGTTTATCTCTTTATAAGCTCTCCTTTAAAGGCTATTTATGCTATTGCATGTATATGCTATCTGTGGGTTTTTTTTTCATTTTAATCTTCAGTGGCCAGTTTACTTCATAAACTGCAATGAATGGCTCATAGCAGGTGCCAGTAGCTACTCAGGAGGCTGGGATCTGAGAATTACAGCTCAAAGGCAACCAGGTCTGGAAAGTCTGTAAGCCTCTTAACTCCAATTAACCACCCAAAAAAGACACAAATGGAGCTGTGGCTGAAGTGGTAGAGACTTTTACAAGTCTCCATGTGAAAAGGGAAAAAGGAAGGAGGAGATCTCAATGAAACAAGGGAACGTTATAGCCCATACACGTGTCACTTTCTCTCTTTAACTTTTGGGCATTTTTACCTTTTGATGGATGGTTTTGAGTTTGGTTATGAGACATCTGGCCAATGGAGATCCACAAAAAGTTAAGAAGCACCTGCAAACAAGCAGGCCTACTGGCACCACCTTTCAAATGCATGGATTGAATTTAGTAGAAAGGCAAAGTTGAAGTCAAACAAAATATGCACTGTGAAATGGGTACTTGGAGGGGGGGGGGTAGGGAGGGGGGAGGGAGTCTAATGAAGGGGGTTAAGGGGAAGAATACAGTCAAGAACTACCACAAAATTAAGAAAAGTAAGGGAAAGGGTGGGTCGAAGGGCAACGAGCATGGTGAAGGGGGTGATAACAGTTAAAGGCATTGTATCCATCAGCTACTTGGTTACGTGGCACCTCCTCTGCACAACTACTTACAGATCATTAAAAAATTAAGAAGCACAAGGACGAAAACAGGACAGGCTTAAGTTGACCTGTAGATTGAGACTCTCCCGCAGGGTTTACAACGCCCCAGATGCCACCCATCAGCGCCCTAGAAACTGACAAAGGTCGGGGCGGGAGCGAGAGGCAGGGCAGCCACTCCACCTGGCCGACCCCGGTCTCCAGCCTCCCTCCCAGCAGGGCCTCCCTCCCGGTCTCCCAGCCAGCGCTCACCCACAGTCCTGGCCGCCTCCGGGAAGGAGGGGTGCGTCCCAGGCGCGGCCACCGAGCAGCCCCAACTCCACCCAGCACGACCGACCGTTTCACTTTTCAAACTTGCCGCCTCCTCCTGGAGGTCCCGCCCCTTTAACCCCACACCCACTTCCGGGCGCGCCGGATACCGGCGAGGCTCACAAAGACTCCAAGCCGTAGTGGCTGGAACTGAGAAGAGAACGCGGGCTCCAGGCCGTGCGGAACCATTGTGCTTGGGATTGGCGTCGGGTCGGAACGTCGAGTCCGCCGGAAGCGGCGCGCCGCGGACCGCGGGTGGCATTCTGAACGGGTGACACCGCTGGAGAGAGTCTGGTGGGGCCAGAGGCAGCCGTAACTGATCAGGAAAGGGCGGAGGGGCTCTCAAGGAAACCACGGCGAGTCCCGGAGTCCCAGTGATTACCGTAGTGGATGGTGGGGTCGGGTGGCCGCTGTTAGGCCTCAGCTCGGTTAGTGAACCCTCAGCACCGGGACCTGGACACACACTTTAGACCCCAGGCACGAACTGGCTCTCAAAGGACGGCTCTCCCCAAAGGGCTCCAAGAGAGATGATGCACCTGCCCCAGAGCCGACCGCGGCAGGGCGTCGGAGCCTGGCCGGGTGCAGGCACGGGCCTGTGAGTATGCATTGCTGTTACCTGACAATTCACCTGTCGTTTCCTCACTTTCACATGCCAGGAAACTGGGCTCAGGGAAAAGGGATTCATTCCAAGTTATACACTTAAGGGGTATTATCCGGACTGAACCTGGATCCCTGAGCGCAGCTTCCCTCTTCCCTCGCCAGAATACTGGAACTCCCGGTACTTTCCCCTTACGAACTGTTTCCCAGATTTGCACATCTCCTGCGTTGGTCGGATTGGGTTTGTTTTGGGTGGATTTTTTAGATAAGGGGCCAGAAATCTGTATTTAAAAAAAAAAAAAAAATCGATCCTCAGGCAAGCGTGGAAACACTAAGAGAAATCAGTCTTCCCGCGAAACACATGGTGTCCCTCGTTTTATGAAGATTTGGAGCACCAGAGAACACAACAGGGCTTGGATCAGGCTACAAGGCATAAAGCATCATCTCAGAAGTGTTGTATGTCAGATGGGGGTGTAGACTGTAGGAAGTAGGCAGTATGGCTAGAAATGTTATGTTGAAAATAAACACAGATTCTGGTGCTTTGTTGTGTGGGTTGAAGGAATATACCAATTTATACAGAGATATGTTTAAAATGTACATAAAAGTACATGTCAGCCAGGTGCTGGTGGCTCACACATCTGTAATCCTAGCTCCTCAGAATGCTGAGATATGATGTTCAAGGTTTGAAGGACAAGGTTTGCCCTTTCTATGTACATTTACAGTAAAACTTTGGTATCTGTGTGTATAAAGTTTCAAGGAAACCTCTAAGCAAAAACTGGATGCTTAGGATGCGTAGAGTTCAACACTTTTAAGAATATTCAACTTTACCTATACCATACATACACTAGATGAGTATCCATAACTTGAAACACCTGGAGTTAAGCAAGCAACATTACTGTCAGAAAATTACTGTTACATACACCATACTACCTACATACATACTACCCACCAAGTACTAGGTTTTTGTTTCATGCTCTTTATCTCAAATGCTGAGGATGATTTGACTAAAATTGAAGATATGGGTTCTACTGCATATTTATTGTTTTTGTAGCTTTGAAAACAAATTGTAATTTTGGAACCATTGTTAAGTCAGGGACTGTATGTATTTTCTCTCACTATAACATTATATTTTTCTGCTCCAAAACTAATACAGATACTATATTTGATCTCCTGCTTCATGTACTCTGTTAATACTCCTACCATCACCTCTTCCCCAGTGTAGACTATCATTTTGCAGCATACAAACTCTCTATGTCTCAGGTACCTGAGACCTTAGCCTGAATCTATCCCATAAATCCCATAATACTCTGAAGAAAATAATGCAAAGGGATCTACTGCATATTCTGACTTCCCATCTTCAGCTCTCCCTCTGATTCTTAATAAGTCCTTAATGTATCATTCATTGATTTCCCTGCACTACTTTCAGTACTTTCTCACAAACTTTAGCACCTTTCTCAATCCCCTTTTACCTTCAACTCTTCTCTATATTAGAAGATAATCAGAGTATCTAAAAGGTATTCTTCAGACACTTCATAGACATACATATACATCTGCAATTTGCCGTGCCTGTTTCCTTTCTAATTGTGATTTATGTTCCCTTTGTAGATTGCTTCTTAAAGGCTGATGACAGACTTGTAATGGATGAACTTTTGAGTGACAAGACAGATAATGCAGCAAGACCATGGCAGCCTACAGCTGGGGCTTTATCTTTCATACAGGCGGTATTCCTGTGTTAGATTGTAAGCAGCTTTGTTACAGATGATCCAAATGGTTATTTCCAATTTGATTGTAATAGATCAGTAAGGACAAAAAGTTGATGTACCTTGTCAAATGTGGTATGAATAGTTTAAATAATTAAGTATATTAACCAGGCTGTATTCTTTGCTTACTGTTAATCACCCACACATTTGACTAGAGATTTTCTAGGGGCCACAGACATGTCCAGTACCTTGTACCTAGTTAGATGAGAAAATGAAAGCCATAATGCAACATAAACTTCCTACCTTTCCACTTCCCTCACTGACAGATTTATTTGTTTTCTTTTATCTGTCTGTCTGAGAAGATAAAATGTCATTTGTCCATTAGGGGTGTTAATCAGTATTTCTCTTTCTGGACTTCTCTGCTGCATTTTTTACAGTTGGTCACACCTTGAAACCTAACTGTTTTTGCATCTTTCCTATTTTTCCATCTCAGGCATCTTGGCTGCCTCTTTGTCTACTCTTTAAACAGAATTTCTCATAGTTCCAACCTTGAGTTGTTACATTTATCTTCCTCATATGTAGTCTCCACTCATTGGTTTAACCTGTTGATCCTGGATTCCGAAACTACTGACATTCCTGGTTTCTCTCTTAAGGTTCATTCTTTTATTTCTGAATAGGAAGGAAGAGCCCATGAGCCTTCATATTCTAATTCATCCCCTACTCTCATTTTTACTAACAATTAGATCTTCCTGTCTTCAATATTATCACCTCCAGGTCTACTACCAAATCCATCTTACGTGTAACAGCTAGTATGTCCAGTATCACATGCAAATCAGACCATTTCACCTGCCTGCCTAAATTTCTATGGTACACACACAAACACCCTGTCCTTATTACCTCCAAGTAAAGTCTACCTACACAGCCTGGTATTATATGGTTTCTTGGATCTTGTTTGTATTGGTTTTGTTTCCTGTCTTATCTCCCACTTCTAGTTTGTCAGGGTGTTTTAGAAAACATGAGATCTTTTTCATTCTTGTTTGTTTTTATCTTGACTCTCACTGCTTTATCTGCCTGACTTTTTAATCTTTACTTATTTTCAGAGATCTCCAAGAAGTCTTTCCTTACAGTCTGAGTTAGATGACTTTTCTCCTTGTGTTCTTGGCTTTACTTATTAAAAAAATATTTACTGAGCTCCCCCTGCCCCCCATTTGTTTCTTTGCTAGAATGATCTAGGTTCTGGAACTATAATAGGAAACAAGCAAATATAGGGTTCATCAACCTAGTAACTCCCCTGACAGAATTTATATTCTCATAGGAAAGAAAAAGAAGTAAATTAAAAAGTAGAAGCAGCAGTTTAGTCCAGTTGGCTCTGTGTTTGAGAATATCCAAGAACTGGTTGGTCTGAAGGGTGAAGAGCAAATGTTCTCCATGGAGGTGACACATTTGTCAAGGACTATGTATTGGTGAAGACTAGACTGAACACAGATTTTATACAGAGCTTGACTAAACAATCATGAAGAGCATTACTAGGCATGATAAGGAGTTTGGGCTGCTTCTTAAGAGTAACAACACTGGAAAAGAGTGGGGGAAGGGGTAACATTGAAATATATGCTTTACCTGACTTAAGTGTAACCCTGGTGTACATCACCTTTATAATAACAATAATTTTTTCTCAAAATAGAATTTAATAAAAAAAAAAAACCAAGTTGGATAACTTCCTACCTGTGGTTTCTATTTTAGAGATGAGTGGAGTTGCTCTACATAAAAGGAATTGAAGAATAGCAAGATAAGAAGGAGGGAAAGAAAGTAGATAACCCTGGGAATGGAGTATTGGCTAGTGCACAGAAACAAATCTCAGAATTTAGAAAAATAGATGTGGCAAAACTTAGAACTGGGAGAAATCAAGGGTGATGTTTTATAAACAAGCGTTAGTGAAAACAAGGACTACCATATTTATCATATGTCCACAGCTAAGCCCAAGTCCTTATAATTATAGATGCCTGATAAATATGTATAAAATGAGTGATTGTTTTCTAGACAAATGGTCGATCGTTTATTAAATGTGTTTATTACCTTTAGTTGTACAAAGGAGTTACCACTCAAAGCAGTTTATGAATACAACGCATCTTGATCATTGCTACCTCTTTCAACATTCTCATCCATCTCCCTAGCTCACCCTTCAAGTGATGTAAAGGCAGACCATGTCCAATGTGACTGGTAGTTCAGTTATGGATACATGTAGCTCATGAGGCCTATGAAACATGTTCTTTACAGAGCTCAGAGACATGGCAATTGGGTAGATGATTTTGAAACTCAAAGAAGGAAATCTAAGGGGATGTTCTTGAATACTTAAAGTTTGTATTATATTGAAATGATTGGTTTTGTATCTGTCTCCACCACTCCAGAAGGCTGATACCTAATGATCTGTGATTCGCTAGTATTCAATACATACCTGGTACTGCATGGTTGTTGAACTGAACTACCTTTTAGATATGGTGCATCTCACAGGAGAAACTGGTAACCTCAAAGAGATATTTTCTTGTTATTGTATATACTTTGCTTTTATTCCTTCTCATCATGGTTATATTTCTGATTACAAATAAAGAATGACAGGAAAGTGTTTCACTTGATCTGTACAAACTCAAAACTGCAACAGTATTTCAAGTCAATGTAAAACCGGATGTTATGAATGTGCACTCATATTAGCTCTTGACTATAGGCTCAT